CCCCATTTTCATAAGCTTCTACTACCTCATATGATTTCTTCCCAATTACTTGATTAATGTCTCTATGTTTTCTACACCAACAGTCATCAATTTTAACATTTTAATCTCATAGCAAACCAACACCATTTCTGTTGAGTCTCAAATACGAAGAATGACATTCTCTGCACAAGAATTTTGTCTTGTGGATTTTCTTCACCATTTGCTTAGTTCTGAAAGGTCATTAATATCTATTAGTATCAATTTGTCCTTTCTATTCCATCTCCTCTGGAATCCAACTGGCTTTTTAACACAGTGAGACTTCTGCTTCAGCTTCTGGGGCACCTAGCAGATAAATGTAATAGCGCAAACTGTTTCAGAGTAATTTTGTCTAAACTCTTTCTCCCAATAGATTTAGCTAGTAAGTCAATGGCTACAGAGGAGTTTAAAGATAACATCATGAAGATTTAACATAAGCTCTGAGGGACTCTGTATCTCAATGAGAATGATTTCAACTTACTCATCTACTTTGAAGCTCACAGTTCTCTTACACCATCATTACCACAACAAACTTAACAGTAACATCATCTCTGCCTTCGGCAGAGGCTTCATCACTGCTTGAATCAGATGAGAAAGGAGAATAAAGCACATGGACTAAGCTGAAGCATTTAGTAAACTCATGTATAAAGCTGAAATTTGACTGCACAAGACATGAGAAAAACCCAGAGGGGCCTGTGGCAAAAAAATTAACTGTTTCTAAATCAGTTTGAAATATTGCTATATTAAAGTACAACACTGGGTTTGAATATGTCCTTTATTCCAAAAACTGTCTAGTATTATCAACCAGAGCATACAGAAGACTGATCAAGGGTAGAATATACACGACGTAGAGATAAAAATACAGGAAGACAAATTATACAGTTGTCTCAATTGTGACAGGAATTCCAGAAGATGGTGCAAGGGTGCTGCAAGAATTGGCTAACCATTTCGAGGGCCAATTTGGAATTTAAGCTTCTTCAGTCTTCTTAGGAGGAAAAAAAAAATAAATTGCTTTATAAGTTCTTGTAAGGTTTACAATACTCATAAGAGCATGAAATCAATTATGTAAAAATTAAAATATTGAAGCAAATGATCCCCTGAAGTCCTTAGCAACTGAAGGTGATATTATACAATTTGTTGTACACTTCAAATCAAGAACAGAACTGGGAAAGACAGAGAAGCATCCCTATATGCCTGAAGCATTGTAATTCTTCCAGCAGCAAGTATCTATGCAGAACTTAAAGATAACTGTGCAAAGAACTTTATCTACCATAAAACAGAAATTTCAGTTTACTTCTGACACTTGATGCTTTTCATTTTACCTTGCTGCATTATTCCACAAAAGTCAGAAGGTACTGTATGTCACATAAAATGTTTTTTCCCCTCCTACTGCTGTGGGTCATGAGTTCTCAAAAAGTTCTTCATGCACTGGAATGTACTCTAAACAAAGAGGGGCCAGAGCCTGCACAAACTGCTTGACAGAAAAATACAGAATGTATGAAAGTTATTTATCATAACTGTATTTTTTTCTTTTTCCCACCACCATATTAGTTTCTGCACTATTGTTGAAATAAAGTGCAAGTATGGTAAAAGAAACATTTGATCTTGAAATCTACTACTAGCAGAGGTAAGCATTGGGACAAGATGCTACTCATCTCTTCCAGTCCCTGTTCTTTAATCAGCACTGTTGTGAAAAGAAAAAACTAAAAATCTTCAGCAGAAGGGATCACTGCTTTACAATATTTTGGACTAGAAATCTTTAAGTATTATTCCCTAGAAGGATGCTGAGAATTAACTTAATCCTGAGAATACTAGTGTGACTTTTAAAAAGCTAAATATCTCTATAAAATTGTAGAATTCAGATGAAACCCTCCCCCATTAAAAAATTTTGGATCCTGAAATCATTCCAAACACCAGTCCCATTTTGGGGAAACCAGTATTGGCTTTCTATAACTCCAACTGACAACTGACTTATGTCTTCTTCAACAACAAACTTGCAGTGCTTGTGAATTTCCAGCAGAAAGATAAGCATGGTTTATAAATAAGCTGTTATGGGCTAAAGGAGTGCCTTTTTTTTTTTTTTAAACAGGGACAGATATTCTAGAAAATGTTAATATAAAAATTCCTTATCACTCTACCAACTAAATTTTATTTCATTTTTTAAAATTACTTTTCATTTCTCCGAGTATAGTGTTGAAGTAATGCATAGTGTATTATAAATACATTTCAGAAAAAATTATAAAGAGCATTAAGATTGAAAATTCAAGCACTCAAAATTTTGAAAGCATCAGATCAGTTGCATGGCAACTGTAATACAATCTGAGTGTACGTATTGTAACAGTTTTTAATAACATGGCCTTGTACTATTCATGGTACATCTCTGTTCTTAATAAGCAGGAAAACAAATAGTTCTGTGGACTGGAAAAAAGTTTGCAGAGGACAAATATTTTCACAAATGAGCTGAATGTTCTTACTCTGAAAGACAGTTTTATGGAAGATTTAATTATCTATAAATAGCACATGATGAATCTGCATTACCTTTTAAAATAAGCTTTCCTTCACATTTCATTGAATTTAAACATTATCTGTGAACAGGACTATCATACATTTGTGAAGCAATGATTTTCCTAATTTTTATGGATTTCAACAAGTGCTCTTAAGGAAACGGAAAAAGAATGGTAGCTTAAGATAGTTGCAGTTAAGTTTATTAAAAACAAAAAAATGAGGGAAAGACTCTTGAAAAAGTGCCTTGGAAGCTTTGTTTAGTATGGTCTAACTCATTCCTGATTCTGTTTCTTTGAAGTAACAAGGCAATTCCAAGTAAGAGTCAGTAAAAACTTTTTGGCTTGACTTTCCCCTGCATTTTCTCTCACTACATTTACATGCACAAAATCTTATTTGGGGTTTTGGGTCAAATAATTTAGATTCACTTGTCGGATTTTGTTACTGGAGAATATAGAGACATTTCAAAGAGAAACATCAACATATCGTACCTGAGAAAATGTTATGTTTCTGATAATACTGATAATACTCATATGCCCTTCCTCGTAACGAAGTTTTAAATGGACTGCTAAACCCAGAAAATGCTTATGATGAAGTGAGGAAAGCACAACTACAACCATAAGAAAGAGAGGAAATCAGGGAGAAGAGCACATTAAAACAATATACTGAGACTCAAGTAGAAGTTTGTGGATTGATTTAGAGCTCATGCTAAAGGCAAAGACATCCCATCTGGTTTTGTTTCTTTGGGTTTTCTGTTGAGGTGATTTTGTTTATGGTTTTTGTTTGTTAATTTTTCTTTCATATTCTTTGGCACCTTCAGAAAATATCACTGGTTTAGAGCCAGTCTAAGGCTGGATAGCAAGAATCTAAGTATCCTAAACAAAGGTGAAATTATAGGCTGAATATCATGATAAAGGTAGTAAAACCTACCTGGTATTTCCATCCATGTATTTCAAAGCTTTTTACAAAGGGAGTTCAACATTATCACTGGTATTTTATAGATGGAAGACTGAGATGTAATAAAGAGGACAAAGGAAGCAAGGATGGACCTGGCCAGGGAAAGGCCTATTCTAGAAGCTGACAAGAACAGAATACTCTTAAGACAAATGTAAGGTGGGAAACATGGGTCATTCACTTCAAGATCTTATACTTCCATCTGTTACCCCAACCACAACAATACCTAAGCCATCTCAAAGGGATTATAAAGGAATAAGAAAGTTCACACTAAAATAATCATAAGACAGATCTAAATCTGTTGGATGATCTCTGTCCATAACAGATAGGAGGTTAATATGTTTTTAAAACTGCATTTTAATCAAACAGAGAGACAGTGAACTAGGAAGTTTTGCCACATACCATTTCTCCCTACTGATTTAAGTGCAGGAAATTATTTTTTTTAATATAGTTGCCACTGCTATTCCCATTATTACCCATAATAAAAATCATCATTTGCCTACATCTAACAAAGATTTTAAACAATGTGGTTTTGAGATCCAGTTTTTAAGTACCTGCCTTTTTCTGAAACAAATGTTATTTTTTTGTTTCTTGAAGTATGTATATTTAAGTATCTCTTACTTATACAATGAAAAATATACAATATAACAGCATAAAACTCTGCCCACAACCGAATATTCAAGTTCCATCTCTCTTTCCTCCCCCAAAAAAAAGAAAAATTCAGCAAAAAAAATCCACTAGAACAACAAAAAGGACAAAATTCCAAAGTTACAAAAACAATCAGATAGTTTGCTATTTTTTTTATCCAAACACAAAGGCCTCCAAAGAAACTTCAACGCAACAAAGACTTTGGTAGATACCATATTCTGCAAGGTCATTCCACACACAGTTTTACTGGGAACAGAAAGGTCCTTCCACCCCAGATGCACACAACATTTAGAACAAAGGAAGAACAAACCAACCAGTTTCAATTGCTAAAAAGCACACACGAATATGAAAATACCATCTGGCTGCGCAGGGGTCCAGATTCAGAATATCCTTTTACATGTTTAAATTGATAACTCTCCACATAGACATTTTGATTTTTAGTCAAGCTACATTGGGAAAAATATTTGAGGGACATACTCAGCACAGCTGACATGCTTGAGTACTGATTTTGTTTTCTCTATGTAACAGAACATACAGACCACACAGTCTGTGTAAAATACCACTACTTTTAGCTAAACCTGTCACATGTCATTTCCAAAGAACCTATTTTCATGTAACTTACTCTTCCCCCTACAGCCTCAAAACCTGCATTTATATAGCATATAGGTCAATACACATGTCAATCTACTACAGCCACCTACAACACATTGGCATCTCTACATGGAACAAAACTTATTCTTCCAACAGTCATATTCTAATTTTTACTTTTTTTCCCAAAGCGACTTTCAAGATACTCTCTTCTTGAAAAGCACACTCAGAATCACAGCTAAAATAATAAAGATATATTTTGAGGTAAGAAAACAAATCCAATAAATGCCTACCTGAACCCACTGGAGATGAGCCAACACTAAGACTTTGTAAACTTCCATTCCTGAGCAAAGTTGGAGATTTTTGAAGACCAGAGCTTGTCACGCTTCCTGCAGCAGATGCCACAGATGAAGTTGGCGAAGCAGAAGAAACTGAAAGATGGGAAATACTTTCTTGACTTTTATTTCCTTTGGGTCTACCAGGCCCGTGTTTACTTTGTTTATTTCCTTTCCGTTTCTTCTCTGTTACAGTTTCTTCTTCTATTCCAGAAGTTTGAGCTCGTTTGTAAGCTGTAGAAGTAAGGCTTGAATTACCTATGTCTCCAGGTGAGCTGTCAAAGTTTTTAGATTGGGAAACAGCTGATGATGAAGGGAGACCAATTAGGGAAGTGAAACAATTGACACTCCCCTCCTGACTCCCAGTCTCTCCTTTATGTACATCTTTGGTTGACGAAGCCTGCTGAGAATGCGTGAAACTGTCACTTCGCAGGTCTGTGTCTGTAAAACTCAAAAAATCCTGGGGAGATTGAACTGAACTTCCAGAAGACGACTTTATGCTCCCAGGAGTGCCCAAAAAGCTTCCTAAAAAAGAAAGGAAAGAAAAAGTACTTTTTTCCCCCCCCTATAGTTGATGAAAATTCATGGGAAAGGTATCTTAGAATACAAAACTTTCAAGTGCAAGGACTTTATGAAAAGTGTTACCAAGAGTTAAATAATTTATTTATAAGATAACTCATTGCTTCTCTGGCTGATCTCCACTCTGCTGGATCTGATTCTCAGATTGCTATCCGAGATTCTGATTTGAATTTGGGGAACAAACAAGGTGAAAGTCAGTAAGAGGAGGTAACAACTTTGCTGTTTAGGCAACTTTGACATCCCTCATGTTTTGAAGCCACAACAAACATTTGGCGCAAGTCAGTGCAGGGTTTTTTAAACATACACATACATAAAAAGAAGGTGGCTGATAGAAACATCCTTGATCACATCTACACTATGCCTACAATCTTCCTTACCGTTCTACCTCAATCAAGGGTCTGACACAGGTCAAGGGAACAGCAATTGCACTTAATTTACCCTGGCTGAGGAGGTGTTCCACAGAAGAGGTATTTTTCAAAACAACAGGAGAGGAAGTGGAGAAAAGTGTACAAAATTGGCATTTTAAGATTTCTTTAGCACTGTCAGAGAACCATAAAGATCTTTTGTGTAACAGAATTACATTGCTTCTGTAATATTTAGAAGGCAGTCATTTCATCACTGTGTTAGCACACGCAAGGCATAAAATGGAGCACACTTAGGAAATACAAACATCTACTTTCACTGAAATTCAGTAATCTTATATGGGTGGGTGCACGTAGAACTCAGACTGATGACGACTATCCTGTCGAGAAAATACTCCTAAATACAACATTAGGTATAAAAAAGTCCTTTAAAAATTACTGGTTTATCATTAGTACTCCATTAAATATTATTAAGAGTTCCATTTAAAATATCATTTCCATTAATACAGCAATTAAAAAATAATAAAAATGTTTTGTATTTTAATAAGTTACATCAACTTCACTTAATGCAGCCTTAAAGAAAATGCACGCACATAGTAAAGATCTATTTTGCCATCTGCAGTGAGCAAGATTTTTCCTTAAATGCAGGATTTCAGAAGGCAATTTTCAAAGTTTTGAGAATTTAAACAAAAAAACACTTCATTTTTTTCAATTAAAAAAAGCCTGAAATACTGAAAGAGTTCTAGGCAGATTTAAAAGTGCTTGCTGCATAAATAAACTCAAAGAAAGAGCAACATCATAAAGCAGAAAGGACAGTCAACTATGACACACCACAGCAAAAATTATGGAAAAAGAATTACTTTATAAAATGTCTAGTTTATTGTGTTTCAAAATAACATATTTCATTAGTTTCAAAATAGCATGGTTTATTAGTTAAGTAATAAAAAACAGACTTTAAAATTTTTTTATTTTTCTTCAGCTCTGATAAAGATGTCATAATAAAATTAGCTTTTTAGAAGCACCAATGGTGCATTTAGTGGGTTTTAGTACGTTCAAAAAGTCAAACTTATGTAAAACAAAAAGGTAAATAAACTGTATACACTTCTCACGTAATCATTTTCTGCTTATGTATTTCAATGAGAAAAAATAAAAGTAAACGGGTCTTTCACTTTTAAGAAAGTGGTGTATTTTAAATGTCTGCATCTTGAAAACTTATTTAGGGGCCATGACATCCTATACATGAGGTAGTCTGGTTTGATTCTAGTATGGGCTAATTAAAAAACATTAGTATTATCCCCTTAAAGGGCTAAGAAAGACCCTTAGACTCAAAATCATATGTTAAATTTTACTCCAGACTAGCTTTTCAGCACATAAAGAAACTTCCAGGTTTAGCAATTAAAGAGAATACCTTATAGTCTAAACAAAAGCATCAGTTTTGCCCTTTAAAGATGTACAACCTTCTTTTTCATGTTATGACAATGAACATTTTTTCCCTGAAAAAGTTGGATTTTTTTTTTCCTCAAAGTGAAACAACATTCTCATTACTGAGGATAAAGGATGAATTACTTTTCAAGTTTTAAATATGTAAGATTTCTAATTCATGTCAAAGCAGAAGTCGTGTACGGCATAACGATTAATACCTTGCTGAAAAGGGCTAGCTGCAGTCACAGTTGTTCCTGGATTTCTTCCAGCACCAGGCTTTCTTCCCCTCTGACCTGAGCTATGACCTGCAGATTTCTTCCCTTTGCTCTCTGACCCTCTAGCCTCTGAAGAATCTTTTCCACTTGAAACATGTGTAGAAACTTCCTGGAAATTTGCATTTGTAAATCGAGCTGTGGTATCTTCCAACCGCTTCAAGGAGCCCGACATGGAGTTGTTGCTAGTGCTTGTGTATGTCTAGCATTTTGGTAAGAGAAAAGAAATAAGAGAAAAGAAACAGATCACACAACTCTAAGAAAAGAACAGTTTAAAAGAACCCATTCCTTCAAATAAACTTAGCAGTGTTCAAATACTAAAGTAACTGGAAAGAGCAGGAATTACATAAACTGATGTTAACATTTTCAGTAAACAATTGAAGTGCATAAAACTTCATTTTGTGGAAAAAACGCACAAAAATAAGATCAGCTTTGCCTAGGATTTTTACTTCATTGAGGTAAATGGATTAATCTCAAACCTATGGTTGCACAGTCTTTATATTCTATTTAAATAGGATATTGTTATTTTGCTGCTTAAAATTAAAAATAAAAAAGGAGACTTTAAATGCTTTTCTGAAAATACAATTTTTATGTAGTTTGTTTTGTCAAACTGGAAACATTGTTCCATCAGCAGTGGAACTGATGAAGGCTTCAGAACCTAGGAACTTGCATTTTTAAGACTTTCTAGTCTCAACGCTGAATCAAAATCAACTCCAACAAGCCCAACTGCCCCTTATGTCTTCACTTCCCATCACCACACTAGGATTCCCTGCCATCTGAATCATCCCATTTAGCCAGTTCCTTAAGTATCGTCAAGTAAAGGCAAGAGATGAGATGTAGCTGGCGAAAACACGTGCAGGAATGACTGGCTACCAACTATAAACCTGCTGCCTGACAGGAAGGAAAAAGCATAACATGCTCTTGAATTCTCAACATAGATTTCATCTTCAACCCCCACTCATGCCCAAAAATTTTGGCCCTTCTCCTACACCCACAACTCTTCACAGGGCTTTCAAAAATTTTATCTTTAGGCCTGATATTCTTCCATTAAATTTTGTCAGAACCGTTCATATTGGTGAACAACAGTCAAAACAGGTTCACAGAAAGTAATTAGGTGGGCAGGGAAACTTTGTGCACAGCATTAGGAAACCACACAAAGGAGTATAATTATTTTCATAATAATAAAAAGAATTGGAGTTGTAATAGCAGAAGTTTAATATCAGAAAGAAAATTAAAGCCAAATTAGGAAAAAGGAAATACTATTCTACTGTTGTTTATACTCAAGCCAGCAAGTAAAATAGCCTTTTGACTGTATAAAGCTGCTTCAACAAAAGAATATGGATCAATCCTAGAAGCTGCTCATCTGTTCAAAACAAGCTTAGTTTGTTTTTCAGTTCTTTATTGAAGTTTAAAATAGAATCTAAGTTAATCTCCATTAAAGACCGTGCAAACACATGCTTCTTAAAATTGAGCATATACACATGTTTTTCTCTTCCCTGATTGGGATGTTTGCTGAATTTAAGCCTACAACAGAATATTTCCTCATCTTTACATACAGCTTTATATAGCTGGTATAAAAAGTTTTCCATATTTTTACTAAAACAGCTGAGACATTTACACAGAAGTTACTTTTCAGCTGCAAATGCCAGAAGGTAACTAAATATGCAAGCTTTGAGCAAGATGAAAAATTCAGTTTATTTGCGCACAGCCCTGTATGAATTATTATAAACAGCAATATATTATGGATTTTCTGAATAACAGTGAAGAAAAATCAGTTTAAGTTTGTTAAAGTACAATGTTAAAAATAATTTACCTCAAACTCATATTGCTATACTGGTAACTGTTTCTAATGCAGATGGAGTAAATTCTAAGGTAAGTTTAGTAGTTAACTTTTTGAACTATTACAAAGTCCACAAGTATGCTCAATTTTCCTGAAATTGATGTGTCACTTGACCTGAGTTAAGCGGCAGTGGTTCAAATTTGGGTCACTTGAACAAAGGTTTTCCAGACATGCAATAACCCAAACCAAAAATCAGGCTTTTTCTAGGATCCAGGATTTCTCCTCTTACCTAATTCCTTCCTTTCCTATCTGCTATCCACTTAGTTGAATATTAGTAGCAAGGATAATTCTCTATAGGTATCAACAATCATAGTTTGATGTTATCTAGTACCTCTTCTCAATTACTGCAGGGAATTTATTTACTTTTCATTTTAAAGGGAAATAAAGAGTTTAACGTAGCTCTACAGACTGGCCAGGGCTAGGCAATGACAAGTTGGCATTAATTTGCATACACTCTGCAGAGATTTGGTCTGACTGCAAGCCCGAATCCTACTATTAGTAGATTTTGGAGAACATGCATGCACATCGCAGTTCTGCTTTTGAAAATTTTGATCCAACAAGTATTTTTGTTTTGGAAGGTGCTGTAAAGTGTACTGAAGTCTACATGCTTATTTAGAACATCTTGAACAGTAATATGATGCAATAAACCCTAAGCAAAGTAAAATTAGTATCATTTAGTCAGTATGTTTTTTCCACAGACTATATTCCTTACTTTAAGAAGTTAATCACAACAAAGTGCCCTAAACCAGATACACATACATCAAGAATCCACAAGATACGCAATAGGATCTAAGGTAAAACTGCAACACAAACCTTAGATAATTAAGCTAATCAGTTTATACAACAACCTACTCACTGCTAAACAAACTGCTTTTCTAAAATGCTAAGTTCTAAAAGACAAAGGCCTAACAGAAACATCTCTGAAAAACCCTTAATACGCTGTGGCAAAGTTGTATTTTTTTGTTTGCTTTGGGTTTTTTTGAGGTCAGGAGAGTGAGAGTGGCAGAGAGCAAGGATCTGAGGATAGCGGTAGAAAATCTTTGTTTATTTACTGACTGGCTTCAGCCAAACTAGCCAAAGGGGTATTCCATTCCATGCCATATGACATCATGCCCTATGACATCAGGCTGGCCAGGGAGGAGCTGCTGCTTGGGGACAGGCTGGGCATCGGGCTCCAGGCAGAGAGCAAACTGCACTGTGTATCGCCCACTTCATAGATTCTAAATACTGTTGTTGTTATTTTCCTCTCCCTTTGCTGTCCCTGTAAACCGTCCTTACCCCAACCCACAAATTTTACCTTTTTCTTCCAATCCTCCTCCCCATCCCACCAGGGGGCAGGGGGAAGAGTGAGCAAGCGGCCCCATGGTGCTCAGCTGCCAGCTGGGGCCGAACCACAACAGCTTCCCATAAACCAGTTTGCAGGTTTTTTCCCCAAAAAGCATGCTTTTACATTGCCAAATATAAAAGTGCATAGAGAGCTACCACCATTTTTATGCCCCCCCATATATCACTCTGTGCTCCCTGAAGAGTTATACCATCCATCTGTACCAAGTCTTAAAACTTCTGGGAAAGCTTTAGATTTACGGTAAAAGCGTAATAATCATTCTTGCTATACACTGTACATCCCAAGGCTTGAGAAGCCTTTAGCCCTGATACAGACATATAGGGTGGTATTCTTGCACTCAGAAGGGAAGTAGCACAGCAGGTAATCCTCCACAAAAATGCTGGATGGCAAGAGTATGGTCCAAGCAAAAACAAACAAACAAAAACCCCCAAAACCAAAAAACAATGCGCACACGCACACATATACCCCATAGCCTACAAACACCTTACTGCTGTAGGGTAGTGATGTTCAATCACACGGAATAGCGATTTCCCTGCTCTATTCATCATCTTCTGTATCTCACTGTGGTAGGATCTGAGCACCTGCCTTGAGAACCAGGTTGGGCTGACAGTCAGGGTGAACTGAGGAGTTTTATCATCGTCACCTCTATTATTACAGATAAAATTCAGTGAGCTGTACTTTCTGTTTGCAGTATTGTTTATTTAGTTACTGGCTACAATTTGAATGCAGATACACTATCTTGTGTATCCTTATGTATGTCAATGTTTTGGAGTTTTGTTTTCATTAATAACACTTCCCCCTCCTTCTGCCCTCACCCCCGTCCCCCCAAGAAAAAACAAAGGACAACTGTTATTTTTCTGAATCTGTTAAACCACATGCATTTTTAAACTCTCAATACAAGCCAAAGCACAAAACCTGAGACAGAAGCTTTTATGAGGACTAAATAAAGGGCTGATTGCTCTTCCCAACTAAGATGAAGGTCAGAAGAAAACCTCATCTGAAGAGGCAGAGAGAGAATTGAAATTCCCAAGTTATTTTAGTCCTCCTTTAAATATTCTGTATCTATGCTCCAAAAGGAAAGTGAAAATTTTGTTAGTACATTAATCAAAGAGTAGTTAAGAATTTCTTATTTCAAACTTTTTCAAACTTAACTGATCCAGACTAAGCAGTGTTTGCTGAGACATTACGGGGATGCACAAAAGTGCCTCTCTAACGGCATACTTGTATCTCAACATCAGTAACATTTATTGGGATTAAATTTTGCAGAACAAAGAGGCAAGCCAAGTATACTAACTCACATCATGTAAATCCACAGCTTATTCTGCAGCCTTTCATGAATCTACCTTAAGAAGCCACTCATCCAAATAAAAGCATACTTTGAAGAATCACCTGCATAAATGGTCATTACCACTGTATCGCAAAGGATTTAACTTCTTTGAAAACGAAAACCAAAATTCATTTCAAATTCCAGTGTCCCTCACAGGAACAATGTGGTGGCAGAAGTGATTATATACCATAATAAAATAATGTATTCACTGCAAAGACAGACTGCTGTGAAAAAAGACATCAATTCTAAATCAATTCTAACAATTCTATGTAAAAATACACAAAAAAGTAACATTAATATTCTGAATCAAATATTTATCTCAGAATAAAACAAAGCTTGTTTTATAATTAAAATTTCAACATTTTGAGGAACACACTATGAATTTATAACCTAGAAAAGCAAATGCATGTAAATAGTGTCAAAAGGACTTAGGGAAAAAAAATTAAAATAACTGAAGGAACTAGCCACAAAAAGTCCCTTCCAAATATCCAGCAGCTACTTTTTGAAAAAACATAATCATACATAGTAACTTGTTAAAAAAATGAACACCAATTTTCCTGATGGTCTGAAACATTATATAAAGAAGATAGAAAATGAAGCAGATAGCTTAGGTAGAAAAAAACTACAGGATGCAAAAGGTTAAAAAAAAAACCTGAAAGGACATGAGTTGATATTTAAATTCCACTATGAATACTTCTGTTTTAGTTTAATTCAGTTATAATTTAAGTTCTACAGTTACAAGGAGTTTCTGTTCTCTTTTTTATTTGCTCTAGCTCTACCTTGCTACTAACCATAGGAGTTGCAACATTTTTTAAAATATTACCTATTTAATTATTTTTAAGACTATAAAGAGGTGAGGATTAGGTATTCAGAAGAATGTAAAAATATTTAAAATGTTCCTATTATAAATTCTACAGACTTAAATACAAAAATATGTTTGACTTGCTATACATACATATATAGTACAATCTCAATTCTTTACTTGGATTAGAGGTCTGCTAAAAATGGGATTTTACTCTTGTTCACCTTACTAAAGTGTACACCATTGAGTTGTAACCCATGTAATTAAGAAAAGACTAGGGAGAACAAAGCAATTCAGTTTAGCAGAAAAACAGAATCCAACTGTCTTCAGCATTAAAAGCATATTCTAATAGGTAGGACTCAAAAATAACCAGTATTTCAATATATTTTCTTTAACTTTTACACAAATATACAGTAGTATCACTTTTTGGTAAAACTTACGATGATGATTAGATAATCAAAGTACAAAAGTGATGTAATTCAAGAAAGATAAGATCATACATAGCACAAAATCGAAACAAAAATTGTAGAGTTTAAAGGAAGTTGCCATACAAGAAGCCTCATGTACAGGCTATGAATTTTATGAGTTGTCTCAGACTCAAGAGGAATATGTTCAGGACAAATTAATAAAATGAAATAACACATCACATGGACCAGTCAGTACTATTCAAAGAGTTTTACAACTTAATTTCAATAAAAACTGTCACACTCACTGACTGAAATGTCTAATCATTCTTAAATCAAAACAGTAAAGCAGCAAATTGATTCTTTTTTCTTTTTCTTTTTTTTTCTTTTTTTTTTAAAATAAAGAGTTTTTGGGAGTTTCAGAAAACCACTGACTAATAAGTCTCACTTAACACAATAGTGTCAAAGAGAATACAGCAGAACCAGAAACAAGACTAATTTATCAGAAGCAGGAGTCACAAACAATGGGATGTTAAAAGATACACATCCTCAAGTTAATAATCCCACTATTGAGAATAACGAAATATCCAAAGAATACTAAAAAATAACTTTCTTAGTGAGGATTCTTGAAGTTGATACTACTAGTTGAAGGAATACTTGCAGGAACTAGAGAAAGCTGTTATTTCAATTGTTTTACCCTGTCCTGAAAAGGTCTTGGTGTACCACATGCAAACAGACAAATTTGTTGAATATTGCATCTCAGCAACCAAACTACATAGAGTTAACAGAAGCTTCAGCATCTATGCTAAAAAAAAAAGTATTTATATACTAACAGCTAATTAATTCCAACCACGATTCCCCGACTCGGATGTCAAACATGCCCACATCAATGGGACAAATGTTTTCCTACTTTGAAGCCAGAAAACCCATTTCTCAGTACTGCTACTCACTCTGTAATACCATCATTAGTGTCATTTTCTTGGCGGATAGCAAAAGCCATTCTCATAGAGTACAATGAGAACTGTCATTATTTAACCCTCAGCGTTGTCTCTTGAGTTAGGTATTTGCTAGCACATTAACAGGAAGGAAAGACCACAGAACCAAGTGGAGCAGACTGCTAAAAAGGCAACGTGATATTACAAGCGTATAAAGCATGAGCTGTAATTTCATAATTACCACCTTAAATGCTTACAGGTTCTGTGACAGCTCAGCACACACAAGTGAATTTCAAAGAAAAGATTTTCTAAAACTTCTCCAACTATTGAACGTAAGTTAATGAAATAAAACTTACTGGGACATCAGTGGCACCTGATTGAGGTCATTAAATCACTCACTATTCAATTACAAAAATCTAAGCCTTTCTTCATATCACAAACCTCAAAGTATTTTAGGATTTTACATTATAGGGAAAAACACCAAGTGTACTTGATAATTATAGAATCTATGCCATTATAAAACTCCTGTACATATAGTGGAATGATTACATCATGAAATTTCAACATAAGTAATTGAAGCAGAAGAGGAGGAAAAACAGATTGACTTACTTTCTCTGTAGTTACAGTAAGGGATGGAACCAAGGATGGTGAGGACTCCGACTGCTTCTTATATTTTTGCTTGTGTTTATCTTTCTCTTTATATTTCTACAAGTTATAAAAGAGAATATAACCTAAGTTCAGCTTCATCTTTAACATAACTCATTTTACCTAGCATCAGGTGTTATCAAAATTTAAGAGAGATGGTAATAATGTCCCATGCAATTTTAATGGAAACAACATTAATGTTTTGAAATTTTTATAGTATAATTTTATAAAAGCAAATCAAGTATTTATATTTGCTTTTAAAACACACAGACTGAAATTCTTCAACTATAGCCAGCATTTATGAATCCACTGTTATTAATATTATCCATCTTCCCAATAATCTATTAATCAGCAAAAGAAACTGGATTAAAAACAGAGACATGGCTTCTGTTTCAGAGGTCTTCCTGAATTTCTCACCAAAGATTTCTATCTTCCTGCGTTTCTGCACCTTCACAGTATTTTTTGTTGCGATATTACTGTAAATTAATGCAAGGTTTCAGCTCTGGCTACCCTACTGTCATCTCCATGCCCAAGAATGTGAAATTCGATTTAGATTTCATTCCCAAAAAGGTGCATACAGTTTACATACTAAATAAGTACCTTCCATGTTAAACTGAACAAAATACCAAAAGCTATACAAATCAAGTGTACTTTCTAAAGAAGCTGAGAATTTAATTTATTTTGTTTTAAACACAACATGAAGCATTGGCTGTGTGGATGAAATCGTGCAGAGAGAAAATAATTTCTTAACCCCATAGCCTTTAAAGTATAATAGAAGTCTTCCATACAGGTAGAAATCAATTCTTAGAGGATTACAGAATCAGACTCAAATTGTATTTGTTTAAATAATTCAGATGAATACAAAAAAAACCCAAACAAAACCCAAATGAAACAAAAAAACCCCACCGAAAAACCACCAAAAACCCAACCACAACCAAAAATAACCACAACCCCAGAGTGTGACAATTCAACTTAGAATAGAGGAGGAGTTCAGTATTTTTACCAATATAATCAAAACCAAGTCTAGAAGGTCACTTTTTCCTTAGCATCATAATATGGTTTATTCGACAGCCAACATTAGAAGACGCAGAGAAACTGCAGCTGTGAGAGAGAGTTACTTGTAAGCTACTGGCCCTCAAGTATTTTGCTTCTTGTATTTGTGGAATTTTTGTGTACTCATACAAAACTCAGTAGAACAGTATCATCTTATGGCTATTTGTTCAGAATAAGTGCTTCGACAGAAAATTGCCCCAAAAGCGCATTCAAAGAGATTGACACAAGAGGTTTAAAACTCCCATTGAGTACCCTGAAAAGATGAGGAAAACAAAATGTGTAAGTCTGAATAGTCGTATGAAAACTCAGTAACTGTTTTGAATCTTAAAAATGATCCATGCTGATCCTTCTCTAACTATCAAAATTATTATCCAGACCCTCAAAAGAAAACATTGTTTGTTCAACAGTGACTGCACAACCACTCTCACCAAGCACCAGGACGAGATGTAACACATGCATACTCCATTCAGGTATCACCAAGTATCGGTTTTCTATTTCAGTCACAATGGAAGAAATATCAGAAACTTCTTTCATGGAATCAGCCCGAGAGAATAAGAGAATGGATTCTCAAATTCTCTAGTAAAGTAGAATCAGTTAATTGACAATCTAGATGCAAAGCTGAAAGCAAAACACATTTCTCTCTACCTTTATGAACTTTAAATACCAGCTGACTCACTTAGAGATCACCTTGTCTCTAACCAGCTGCAAATCCATTTAACTAAACTTATAACCTAATTTTGCTAGGAAGGAAATAGTTTCACCAAGAAAATTCATAAAGTACCAAAGCCATCTTCACCGAGATATCATGCAAAAATGTACTTTCTAGAATACAATATGTAAAGTCCTTCTGATTCTTGTACACTTAAAACTCAAAAGAAGGTCCAAGAGATCTCTTTAAAAAGCGAATGGGGATTTCTAGCTTTGTTTTTTTCATACACTGAAGTGAACTTGTTTCTCCCCAGTGTGCTGCTTGGATAGAAATAGGAGTCTTCCTTTTCTTAAAGTGTGCAGGTCTCATAATTACAGTAATGTACACCATAAGGTAGGATTTCAATTGTTAAAAATCTAATATAGGCTTGTGGGGGGAGTTTTAGATTGAGGACTCTGGTTTTGTTCTCTTTTGGGTTTTTTTGTTTGTTTGGGGGTTTTTTGGATTTGGGTTTTGTTTTGGGTTTTTTTGAGGGAAGACTGTTTTTGTTTGGGTCTTTTTAGACCTGGAAAATACACATTTGAAAGAAAGAAAAAAGTATGGAGAGGAGGGATTCAAATGCACTGCACAGCCTTTTCAATAATCTCTTAAATGTAACAGTCCCAAAAGTGCTACCCATACTGCCAGAAAACAAGCAGGGATCAAGAGAAACCAGAAGCATCTACACCAAGACTGCCATGTTATCCATCAAATGTGTTGATCCAAAAGCCTTTCATCAGTGCTGGTTACCCAGCTTACTGTATCATCAGTGTACACGTTTAGATAAACTTAAGTAACAATTTCACTGAACTCCAAACAAGCCTCAAGAAGGAAGTTATGAAATGTAAATCTAAGCCACTGCCTGAGTTTCTTTAGCTTTCATCATTTTACTAGTAAATTCAAATCACCCTCAAGAAATTTTTTGATTTATAATTCTGGAGCCAAAAGGCAATGACTTTAATATGCTTTAAGATGAAAATTCACAGCAATATCAGTAAACAATAGGAAACATTCAAATGAACATGTTTTACAATCTCTTCTGTTGACTTTCTTGTTTTCTTTTACTTCCAGTGTTAATTTTGTTTGAAAGGCAAAGGAACATAGAATTCTGATCAAAGGAACAGTCAGGAGGACTTCAAATTACGTTCTGTAATGTACTGAAATCACTTTGATAGTAGTCTCAACAGAAAAGGGTGTGTCGAGAAGGAAAAGAGGGATTCAAGAACGGGGGAATGGAGGGAGCATAAACAAGCAAGAAAGAATATGCTTTAAGTTCTGTAAAGCAAAGCAACCACATCAAATTCCTCTCCCAGCTCCAAAACATCAACATAAGTTTTGCCAGGACAGCTTACCAAGGTTACAGCTTACCACTCAAGGCCTCTCCTTTTTTTTTTTCTTTTTCTTTTTTCTTCCTAAAGAAAGTTCAGAAGTCCTACTTCTGAATGTGAATTGACTCCAGATGCAAATAACATCAAAGAAGTGGAGAACACTTCACTGCAGGAAAACCTTTGAAAAGAATGCTCAGGTTTTACACTGATAAGAATAAAAATTTCAGCAATAACCTGCTGAGATGAAGAGATTTAGCTCCCACAAAGTCACTCCTTGCAGTTGCACCCCCTTCTCACCATAAAGATGCATACAAAGCATAATAAGAGTTCTGAAATATCTATCCACTTTGGGATCCAGAAAAGGAATAACGGACATTAATTCCACAATATAAATATGATAGCTTTCAGTGAAGTCTGTTTCAAAGGACACACAAACCAGTCATCTTCCCTACTGCCAGAAAAAGAACAAAGAAAGAGCTGGCCCTTCACAGACTACTCACTGAATGCCTCGCATTTGTAATACCTCCTATCATCAGCCACAGCTCAAAAAAACCCCCAAACAAAACCCCAAAACAACATCATCGCAGCAGCTCACTAAGATAAACGTCCATCCATATGGAAATTCACTATTCTAGGCAAGTGTGGTGGGTTGACCCTGGCTAGAGGCCA